GTTCGTGGGTCTTTTTCCGACACTACTTGTAGACAATAGAGATTTCATAGATAAACAATCTTGTATAGTCCTTCAGTATTCAGTTTCAAATGTTTTATTTTAAACTTTACGTTTCATACTCAGTGTTCTTAGATAATTTTGAGATTCAGTAAAATGTTTTGAACGATTTTCGATTTTGACGCTAGAGTTAGTCTTCGGTTTAGCAGTCAACCAAGACAAGGATCAGCTTGGACACTAGCAATGGTTCTCGAGTGTCAGTCATGTTTAGGGTGTAGACTCGAGTTGTGACATCATATTTCTTTTTTACAAATTCTTTGAAAAATCATAATCAAGAAGAATGTTTTTACTAAATAGTTAATTTTAACGGGAAAATAAAAAAATAGGAGGAATATATTAAGAATTTAATAAATAAAAATATTTTCTTTTAGAACAATTAAAAGAATTAACTTATTTATATAATAATTTAATTCAATCAAATTTGGGTTGAGGACATTTTTAAACCAAAAGATGAAAAGAGAGATATTTTTAAACCAAAAATAAAAGTAAAAGGTATATTTAAACCAAAAGATAGAAGGATGATATTTTTTAGCTTTTTCCAATAATAATTAAAATGTGTTCTTGATCCTTTTCTATTTTTTTAAAAAACGGTAAATTAGGACCCCACGAAGTGTAGTCAAGTTTATTAGTTGTAATTTAGGGTGCACCACCAACTTTGCTTTAAAAATCAAACTTCCCCTCAACTTTGAATAATCATCAAACTCCCCCATTATCTTGTGCATCATCCATTTTACCTTTGTTATACTAGATATATGTAATACCTTTGTATATTATATATAATTTATTTTTTTAACCTAAGTATTTATAATTTTTTTTAAGTTCATTAGTATTGTATGTAGAATAATGTATTTATAAATTTGTTACAAAATTTAACATTATTTTTATGACAATTATTTTAATATAATATGCAGTGAGCATGTATAGATGTATGTATGCGTATATTCTGTCTTTCTCCTCTCTTTTTCCATGCAATTAGTATTACTTGATCCCTTCTTGATATAACGCTTATTTAAAAAAATTATTAGAGATCTCTTTTATTAAATTAACATTATTAATAATGCTTTACAGAGGCGGAGCTACAGTCGGTGAAGGGTGGTCAACTGAATATCTTTCACATAAAAATTAGATCGTGTATATAGATAAATTATTTTTTATTATGTGATATATAAATAAATGAACATTCTTAAATATAATAAAGGTCTTTGCTCCGATGATAAGCGTGCTCATTTAAGAGCCTAACAATTCTCTTGAACATAAAAGTTTACTTATTTCAAATTATGAAAAAAGTCTCAGCAATTCATTTTGAAAAATATTGTGTACCCATGTTGCTATAAAAATTCACTCTTTTAAAGTTTGAACACCTTAGATGAATTTTTTGGCTCCAAGACTTATGCCTCGAAACTTTAAATCTAACTACTACTCTGTTATGCAGTTATTTAATATTAAGGGCAGAAATAAAAAATATTTAAAAATTCTTTTGATATCATTAATTGAACAATTAAATTAAAACAACTAATTTTAAAATGAGAGTCAAGTAATATAAACATCATGGAAAATTTTCTATTGTCTATATAAATAAACAAGTTTTGATTAACATTAATGGAGTATTACATAACTTATAGTCTAATTTTTTTAAAAAAAAAAATACAATTCTTAAAATTTGACCTGAATTAAATTAATTATTTTATATTTCCTACATTGAAATGTATTTATATAATTATTATTCTCTATTACTTTTACTTGTAAATAAAAGTTAGAGTTCTGATTATTATTAATAAAATATATTTTTTTTCATTATGCTAGTTACTTCATCATAAAACATCATTAGCTCATATACGTAATTAGTATTTCTCACATTTTTTGTCCAAAAAATAATGTTTATGCTTTTATTAAAAATTTGTTATATGATTTTTTTTTTTAAAAAAATATGAATTTTTAAGAAGTAAAAATAAGTTGATAATGAAAGGTATAATTGACATATTTAAAAAAAATAATATGGATGGCGGTGGGGGGGGGGGGGTGATTGATTTTTAAAGCAAAGATGGAAGGTGGAAGACGATTTTAAAGCAAATTGTGCACAAGTTGATTCGATTTGATTTTATGTATTAATAGATGATTTATTAATTTTTTTTATTTTTAAATATGCTAAATTAATAAGATATTTTCTTATCGATTTATCAATTTGGTCCTTAAAGTCCGATTTTTGATTTTTGGTTTAACTAATAAGAAATGTTTAGAAAACAAATCTATGACTTTTTCAATAAATTTGACGCGACAAAACAATTATTGCAGTCCTTACAAGCTATTGGTTTACCTAATAACTCAATATTAAAAATCAATACCGAATTAATAATTCGATAATTTTTTTTTGAATCGATCAAAAACTTGTTAACAAGATAACCTAATAACAATAAATCAATAACACTTTTTCGATTCGATTGTTGCATAACCCTATAAATCATCATACTGATTTAATCTCTAAGGGGCCGTTTGGTATGAAGGATAATCTCAAATAGTCTTTGGATTAAATTATGGTGTTACTTATTTGTAATTTGATTGACAAATCTGGAATAACTTATTCCGGATTAATAATGAGTATAGTGATAAGTTATCCATTTCTTTGAATGGTATAGTAATCCTAAAATAAGTTATCCAGGGGTGGCTTGACAGTATTAAAAAAAATGTGCCTTAGGCCCCAAATTTATAGTAATCCTAAAATAAGTTATCCAGATGTGGCTCGACAGTATTAAAAAAAAAATGTGCCTTAGGCCCCAAATTTAAGGGACCTATTTTTTTAAAAAAAATAATAATAGGTTATAAGTTATTATGTTTTAACATTGAATACTATTTGTAGAAAAAGTAAATATGACATATTTTGAGTACTATATTTTATGAAAAATAATTTAAAATAAGAATGGTTATATTATGAGGTGAAAACTAAAAGAAAGAAATTATATAAAAGTTATAAACAATTTGAGTTTAAGGCCCCGTTTGATTTTTGTTTTAGGCCACTAATACGCTTGAGTCGCTCCTGAAGTTATCGCAAAATAAAAAAAAAGTAAATAACAAACATGTCCCTTCCCCTTTAAACTCTTTTTATACATCATTTTTTCATATTTTTGAAAAGAAGTAAATTGTTCTTAAAATTTCTAATTTTGAATATAGCTACGGAAAACTCAAAAAAAAAATTGTTTTAGCATAATTTATAGAGTCAATTTTTCAAATGGTTACCCAAGTTAAGGAAATTTTCTTAAAATATCATTTATATTTCATTTAGAATCAAAATATCACTCAACTGTCACTATTTTTCTCCAAATATACTTGACAATTCAAAAACATCACTCTCTCCTAAATGACATGACATGTCATTAAAGTATGTTTTTAATAATAGACTAATTTAATTCATTAAACTCATTTAACTAAAATAATGATCATATTGTTTTAATTTTTTTTACTTATTTTATCAAGAATAAATTTTCATACTTCAAATCTTTTATCATAATTAAACTTTTTATTGTTTTAATTCAGAATGCGTTTTTAAAATGTACTATAATTTCATCAATTTTAAATACTTAGAAACACATATATTCAAAAAATATTGATATACAAATCACTCATGAACGCTAATTTTACTTAAATTAATCATAAATTGTATAATAAATCAATAATATTAAAGGTCGATTAAATATTAAAAAATAATTATTTCGGTCTTAAAATTCATATATACTTACAATATCTTTTTTTTAAAAAGAAAATAGTAAGTGAATAATATTTATAGAAAATAAAATTTTGATCTTTATTTATTAGTATATTAATCTCATATAATATGTATACTATGAATTAAATAAGTAAATTCAATTAATCATTAATTTATTTATTGATGTTTAATTGTAAAATTCAATTAATCATTAATTTATTTATTGATGTTTAATTGTATGAAAAGTTATAATATAATATAACATAGAATAAAAGAATAAAAATAAAAATAAAAATAAAATTAAAAAAAGTTAAATAACAGTTTTCTCTTTCTTACCAATTCTTTTGTGAACCTTACAAATTTGTCTAAATACTTTTATTTAAAAAATTATTTAAAATTTTCAAATATTTAAGTTAGAAATTTTAAAATTATAAGGTAATAAGTGCGCACAAAGTTTTTTTCTTTGAATTTTGGTTGGTGGCAATCTATAAAGTTACTAGACTTTTTAATTATTTTTATTATAATCTTCATAAATTCTCATGTAATTTATATATTTATTTAGAGACATAAGTTTGATGAATTAAAAAGGTCTAGTATTTTTTTAAAATGATTATTAATGACAGGGCATATCAACTAGAATTTAAGGACAACTTTAAGGTATTTAGTATTTCTAATGGATAAAAAATATAATATTATTCACTTTCTTCTTTCTTTTTATTTTTAAAAAAAATTAATAATATCGGAAGCATAATTACAAAATATACAATTAATAATATTGTATTAACCTTTAATATTATTTATTTATTATACAACTTATGATTAATTGATGTAAATTAGCGTTAATGAGTGATTTATATATCAATATTTTTTTGAATGTATGTATTTATAAGTATTTAAAATTAATAAAATTATAGTACATTTTAAAAATGTATTCTCCAAAAAATAAAAAAACAAAAAGTTTAATTATGGAAAAAGAATCTAACTATGAAAATTTATTATTAATAGATTAAAAATAATATGATCATTATTTTAGTTAAATAGGTTCAATGAATTAAATTAGTCTATTATTAAAAAAGAAGACTTTAATAACATGTCAATTAAGAGAAAGTGATGATTTTAAAATGTGAAATATATTTAAAAAAAGATAATAATAGTTGAATGATATTTAATTCTAAATAAAATATAAATAATATTTCTAACGCAAATTTGGGTGACCATTTAGAGCATTATAACTTGTCTATCGTAACTCAAATAAAGGTTGTAAAATAATAGTAAGTTGAATACTTGTGGTTTCGAAAAAAAGTTAAAAAGGATAGCGCAAAGTAGCGCGATTGAAGATGAGTAACACCGTCGCCGTCGATTGTTGGCTTCTCAGTTCCGGCGTTTCCTCCTTTACATCCACTTCCAAGTTGTACTTTCCGGCCAATTTTTCTCGAAAGCCACGCTTTGGTAGCAACACAATTCGAGCTTCCGCCACCACAAACGGTTCAAGTAAGCAGTTAATCTTTAATTTCATGAAATATTAGATTTTATTATCTGAAATTTGTTGATATTTGTAAATGTGAGATTTTTCGAATTACAGGTGAAGGTGTTATTTACAAAGCGTTATTATGTGGAAGAAGAGCCTTACTATCTATGATTACCTTGCCTCTTGTTATGCCGTGTGAAAGAATTGACAATAGTGTTGGTGCCATTGCTGCTGAGTACGTTCAAATGTACTGCTTTTTAGAAATTTGTTTAGAGCTTTACTGCCTTTCGGATTTCACTTTCTTGTAAAATGAATCTTCCAAATTGTGGTGTTAATTGTCAAGAAATCTTATAGACAAAGATAAGTAAAACTTGCAAATAAGCATATTGGTTAACATGTAGTGTTGAAGACCATGTTCGACATTCAAAAGTTGAAGTGTTAAGTTCAGCACAATTCACATGTATTAATTAGTTTATTTATGGATGATTCATATGTGCAAGTTCGATTTGAGAGTTCTCTCTAGCTAGTTGGGATATAGCAAAGACACTCCTTTCCAGTGATTATATATTTCTATGCCCCAATTAGATAATAAATTCTAAGAGAACATATGAGAGAATTTGACTTTGAAAGAGGAATGATTCTGCTCACATAAGGTGAATTTAGTTTATCATACTTCCACCGCTAGCATCAACCATTTTAGGAGTGATTTTTTTCCCAAAATTCGTGATTACTGATTTCCTTATTGAAGGCACTTGACCAAATGTCCTTGAAGCATATAATTTGGTAGTAGAAAGTCGAAATATGAAACATTTTGAGAGTCATCCGTATGTGAAGAAGATAGGTAGTTACTGCTTGGACTGAAAAAAAAGCATAGAGCGATAAGCTTGGTCACCTTTTCTGCTTTGTGTTAGCAGTTTCGAGTTTGTAATTGCAGGATGAATGTGAGGAAGTGATTCTAAGGGGAGAAGTTCCGTTTTTGTCGACCCTCTTTGATTTCACTATCGAAATTAAGATCTCAAAAAAATATGCTTGACACTGTAATTATTTGTTTCAAGTTATTTCTTTTAAGCAATGTAAAATGTAATTACTCCATATATTCCTAAAAGGAGCACTAACTTTCCGTTTGTTTTTGGCAGTGAGAGCTTTCAGGTAAGGGAAGAGATCAGGAAGGTATTATCCAAGAGCAAGGCTGCTGGTGTACTTCGCCTTGTATTCCATGATGCAGGAACTTTTGAAATTGATGAGAAAACTGGTAATACTTTGAAACGCTTAGTCCTATCCCTACCCCCCCCCCCCCCCCCAACTATTCCAATCATTAGCATCTTTCAATTTGTAAGCTAATCACCTTATTTTAGAATCTACAGAGCTGGTCTATAAGTGTTATAACATCATAAATGCACATGGAAATGCTTCTTACACCATTAATTTGCAAAACCTGTATATATCTTATTTTGTATTTATCCAAAAATATAATAAATTTGTGCAGTATGCAAATATACTTGAAAGAAGAAATTGTTTTGTCTTCCATTCCTGGATACATGATATCAACCTCGATTGCTCTTATATTAGGGGGTATGAATGGCTCTATAGTATATGAACTCGACAGACCCGAAAACAAAGGCCTTAAGAAATCTCTAAAGGTAAGTAATTTTATTGCGTATACTCTTTTCTTTTGTCTCTCCATCATTAGTTTTCTTTTAACCATCCTTGGGAACAGTCCGCAGATATTCTCATTTTAAATGTTAGTTGTTTACCATTTCCAAAGACTGATGAACTCTCATATGTACTTCAACCAGCTAACATCTCGGTCCATGCATTGTTCTATAGATTCTGGACAAAGCGAAGAGTCAAATTGATCTTGTGCAATCAGGTAAACTGTCTCAGTCAATAAACTGCTGTTAGTTCACCTATCATTTTTGTTCCAGCATAACTTTTTTAATTGTTGGCTTTGTTCTCAGTCTCATGGGCTGATATAATAGCTTTGGCTGGAGCTGAAGCTGTTTCATTATGTGGTGGACCTAGTATCCCCATTCAGTTGGGAAGAATTGATTCAATGTAAGGGCTTTTTTAGTTTATGATAATGTTTACATTTTGCTATATAAGATGTTGGTCCAGTAAATGTGGAGAGAATTGCATCTATTTTTTTATTTATGCTGTTTAGAAATGGGGATGCAAAGATTTAATAATCAGGATCTTGTGAATCTCTTAAATTTAGCAATAGACAAGTAACTTACAATCTTAATTTAAGCCCTTTGTGGATAGTTCCTTCTCATTCAAATTGATGGCGTTTATCCATCTAAGCACCAGGTGCCAGAAACTTACCATGAGGAAACCCCTAATGTATGAAGAAACCATATTTCAATTGATTGTCGTAATTTTCTTCCGTATCTACGTTGTCATAGTTGACTTTGACTATGTAGGGTGCAAGATCCTGAAGGAAAACTTCCTGAAGAATCACTAGATGCCATTAGCTTGAAGCAATGTTTTGAAAGGAAAGGCTTCTCGTGAGTCTAATGGCTTATTTTTATTTCATCTTCTGCTCTCCTTGTGCTCCATGTTATACCATTCAATTAGCATTCTCATATTGTTTTGATGCCATTGACATAATTTGACTGGGTTTATTTTTGTCAGTTGCTATTAGAGCAGATAAATAGATAATCTTGTTTGTACTTTTTATGTTTCCTTTGCTTTGCTTTAGTGGATAACAAAAGACTTTTAAGGGTTTTCCCCTTCAATAGCTTCTTCAGATGAAGTAATGAGACTTGCGATTCACAAACTGTTGCATCTTTCTTGGCATTTCTAGTGTGTTCTTCACTTGCAACATTCTGATGTTGGGTAATCAGAGGCAGATCCTGGATTTGGAAGTCTAAGCTTTATTGATGTTTAAAAAGCAGTAGCTATAATTAATCATCAATTATGTAAACATAGACGAGCCTTGACTCATTGGTCTGTTTGAGTTTTATTAGTGATCAAGGGTTTTCTTTCTCGACTGTACCAATTCTTTAACAATATATAGGCTCACTATATTTGTCAAAAAAACTGATCAAGCTGGACTTTTAACCGTTGCACCCCTATAATCTTCTAACCAACATTCCAGGAAGCTCTCTTTTTTAGATTGTGGGCTTTTTGATTAGAATATGTGTAGTCCTCGATGCAGCACTAGTTTTAAAAAGTGCACCAGGCTTGGTTCTCACTCGCTTCCACGGATAGAAAAACCTGACTCTCCAACACTGCTACCATGTGCCCTATTGTTACTCCGGGTGCCAAGAATAGTATTTATATACATTTTCTCATACATATATACAGAGTGTCGTGGCACCCCCACACTTCTACATAGATCCAACCCCCGTGGGATATACATAAAGTGATAAAACTATTTCTTTCAGGTTAAGCACTTCGCCAATGAACTGGCTTTGTAGCATCAGTAATCCTTTTTAATGAAATGCAGTGTAGACAAACATGGTGATAAATAACGTAGTTTGTCACTGTAGCTTGCGTGGATAAATAAGATTTGGTATTCACATGGAGTAGACTTAGTTCTGTACTCTTGTTTTCGTGGAAGTGAACGACCATTAGTTCTGCTCTATTTCATGAAGCATGTGAATTACTGCTGTATTTCTTCTGTTTCATATGCATCTGGTTTCTCTTTCTCCGGTGTTATAATGTTATGCGATTTAACATATTCTCTCACTTTCCAAGAGCTATTTTGGATTTTCTATATGATCGTTTCCTTGTCCTTCTGAGTTTCTAATGCATGGGTATGAGACTCTCATAGTTTAGCCCCTCTATTTGGATAATGCATGCGAATACTACTTATACAACATGTATATCAAGAACCGAAGAATGTGGCTTTATTAGAAAATTCAATTTAATGTACGCTGTGCTAACATTTGATAAGACAAACTGTATACACTAATTCATATTTTCCTGTACCAATATTAATGTAGCATATAGGTTATAGTGAATTGTTAATCTCCATGACATACACAAATTTTCAAAATCATGCATAAGGAGCATATTGCACAGCCAGTGTCATCAAAAAAAGCATATTGCACAGCCAGTCTTTAGGAGTAATCATTTTGAACCTTAGACCTCTTGGTCTTATTCTAGGCAATATTAAGGAACTCATCTGAAATGATGGTTTTAGAGAACGAAAAAGGGATATTATTTGATCGGTATCCTTCAAAATGGGTTTATATTAAATGTATTCAAAATTTTCAATTGCAGGTCTTTCCCCATGTATGTTTTTCTTTTTGAGGCAATCTATATTCAATATGCAGGTAAAGTGTCAGTTGTATGATATTTTGTGAGTATTCACATGATCATGGCCAAAAGAGCAGATTTAATTGCTCCATAATCTTTCCCCTGCCTCGAGGTTATGGAATTTCAGCTTAGCTGAATAAAATTCCATAACTCATGATTTTTTGCCTCCTCTATTGGCTGCATCAGTTCAGTACTTTGGGTTTGAGAATTCATTGACTGATAGTTTAAAAACCTAAAAAACACTTCTCAGCTTGGTATTTGGAGAGAGCAACTATTCAAACATTTGGCTTTTGATAATCATGGTCAGTTGTCAGAGGTCTGAGCAGTCCAGGCTTTAACTCTAAACTTATGCAGTACAACCTCTTGCTCACCTATAATTGGAAAGAAAAAGCTAGATCTGTCTGCCTAATCTCCATGGATTGTTCATTTTGTTGGCAGAACTCAGGAACTTGTTGCCTTGTCTGGCGCGCATACTCTGGGAAGTAAAGGGTTTGGGAATCCAACTGTCTTCGATAATGAATATTTCAAGATTCTCATGGAAAAGCCATGGTTGTCCTCAGGTGACAAATGGCATTTATATGGTATCAAATGGTTATGTGTATATATATTGAATTCATTGAAATAAATAGCAAGCAACTGAATCATCAGAACCTATGAAGCATTGATGTTCTGAAATGGAAATCCATGTACCTACATGCCTAGAGTTTAGATGATTGTTGCAGAAAACTGTCAAGCAAGATTCGGCTCAGGATAATCTAGGCTGCAAATTGTTTATGCTTCAGTATTTATCTGGAATGATGACTCTTTCTGATAATAGAAGGCCCCTTTTTTTAGAATTTTATTCATATGATAATGGGAATCATAAAGAATAATTTCCTTTTTCTTAATGTCTTTAACCATGTTGTAGCATTTTATTTCTCTTTCATCTGCACAGGCAGCATGACTAGTATGGTTGGACTTCCCTCTGATAGGGCACTTGTTGAAGATGATGAATGTGTAGGGTATGGTTTTCTTTGACCTTATGCTATTTAGATTCCTTTATTATGGTTTGGAACAACAACTCCTCCAATTTTATCCTGCTAGCTGAAAGGCAGAATTTTATTCTAGTTTTAGTTCACAAGTTATAGTATCGTTGTTCTCAGGATTGACCTTCTTTCTAGTAATGAATTCTTCTTGAACAGATGGATATCAAAGTATGCTGAGGACCAGAGTTTATTTTTTGATGATTTCAAGAATGCCTATACTAAACTTGTTGACACTGGTGCAACTTGGAAGAAAGCATTGTAGTCCTTGAAATTAATCAGCAATACCTTGTCATAGCTGGTAACTTGTTTTGGCGTATACAAGGTTTGATGACCCTGCAACAAATGCACTCAAATGTTACTTTTTGGTTACACAGGCAGTCTTAACGGAAAATTTGCAGCTAAAGTTCAGTAAATGAACGTAATATGTCTAGAAGTCGAATGTTTTTATGGAAAGGTTTAGCTCTATCTACCACCAATATTTTAACAACTTGGTCCTACTCATTGATTTACAACAGTTTGCGCAATCCAGTACCTACCCTACTCTCATAAGAAACGTTATGTTGTTACACTCTCATCAAATAAATGTTTGAGAGGAAAAAGTATACTGCAGCTTCATTTAGGTATTCTTATCACTAATTGGTCTCATGTTTTGACATTTATTCTGATTGATTCATCAGAGAAAAGTTATCACCCTAATATATGAATTTGTGATTTTTAGAATCTGGGAATATTATTGATTATGTAAATTTGGCTGCTTCTTTTTTTTTTCCTTACTTTCTTTATGCCTTTGTAAGAACTTAGTGTCCCGCTGCTCCAGTAATTACGAAATGAATTTACTGTGTGGGAGGGGTGTACTGTGATTTGTAATTTGATACCAACTAATCAATTATACAAGTAGACATTGTTTGTTTGGAGCCTCCACTAAATTCGGATTGCATGGAGTTAATTTCTCAACTTGACGGAATGCCAAATATGCATGATAAACTGTGAAGAATGTTCCCCAATTGCCATTATATTACCTTGAATTTGTTTTAACTCGTAAAATATTGGAGTATATTTTCTTAGGAATAATATTTTTTTGGAAGAGAGAAATCAATTATTCCGCAAAAATAAATAGATTTTTGATAAAGGAAAACAAAAACAAAAACAAATGTAATGTTAACACGTGTTGTTAACATTGAAACAAACAAACGATTAACATGCAGCAGCTTAAGCTATAGCCTTAATCCATTTCCATGGAAGATTAATCCCCTAATCTAGATCAACTTTTTTTTAAAAAAAAAAGAGTGAAGAAATGGAAAAAACAAACAAAACAAGAAGGTAATTAATTGTAAATATAATTATAATAATTTGCATGGGAAATGCGATGGGTTCTTCAAAAGCATCTTATACACAGATTCTTGTAGCATCTTCAATTGGATTAATTCTTGCTGCAGCTGTGCATTATCGTCTCAAGAAAATCCGTGATCAAAAAATTGTTCCTCGTACTAAAGTTACTAATACTGGTCAGATCCTTAGGTTTGAGAGTTTTTCTCATTATGTAGGTAATTTTCATCATCTTTTATCTGTGTATGTGTTGTTGTTGTTGCTATACAATATACTTATATGATCTATTAATGAATGAATGAATATATATATATATATATATATGCAGCTAGACAAATGGGATTTAATGACAAGAGGGAATGTCCACATTTGTGCAAATTATCAGCTGAGTACATTAGAAAATCAGATGGATGTGAAGAAAATATATACAACTTCTTTTCTAATGAACCAGATGCTGATTCTCTATTCATTAAGTTAGTTGAAGAATTTGAGAGATGTATCCTTAGTTACTTTGCATTTCATTGGACCAATGCTTCTCATATGATCAGCCAGGTCTTTTTTTTTTAACAACATTTATTTTATTCATCTTTACTTTCATCATATTATTAATTTAATATCTCACAACTCATCCTCTCTTGTTACATCATCTTTCAGATTTTGAGTGCTGATCATGCAGAGCCTAAAAAGAAGCTCAAAAACATCGTCATGGCTGCTACTAGGTATTACCACAATTATATATATATATCACTACACCAAAAATGAATTGTAGCATGCAATTATATGTTAATTAATCTCAATTATCGCTAAATTTTATTTTTTTTTATAAAAAGGAAATTTCTAGTGAAAATTACATTTTAAAACTATTTGTAAAATGTTGCTATAGCCTATAGCGACATTTAATCTAAAGGCAATTAACTAAAGACTTTAGCACTCCTTGTTAATGTGCATATTTATTGCTGTTAAAAACTGTTTGGTGTTGTAGTGTATTAGAATTATTTATATTTACTAATTTAAAAGAGGATTAAAATGATGTGAAGGGAACAAAGATTTGAAAGGGTGACGAAGAATCTGAAGGTTGCAAGAGTATTTACGACGTTAGTTGAGGAGATGAAAGCAATAGGGCTAGTTTCAGCAGATGATTCAGAGTGCACTGATGTGATGGTTCCAATGGCTCATAAAGATAGAAGCCCAGTCCTACTCTTTATGGGTGGTGGTATGGGAGCTGGTAAAAGCACTGTGCTCAAGGACATCCTCAAGGAGTAAGTATAATTCATTATATATATACTCGACTAATTGCTCGATAACTAATGATCTCTCTCTGTAGACCATTTTGGGCAGGAGCAGCAGGTAATGCAGTCGTAATAGAAGCAGACGCTTTCAAAGAATCAGATGTGATTTACAAAGCCCTTAGTTCGAGGGGACATCACAATGACATGCTTCAAACAGCTGAATTGGTACATCAGTCGTCAACAGATGCAGCATCATCGCTTCTTGTAACAGCACTTAATGAAGGAAGAGATGTCATAATGGATGGTACACTATCATGGATACCCTTTGTGGTGCAAACTATAACCATGGCAAGAAATGTACACCGAAGACGTTACCGTATGGGTGTTGGATACAAAGTGGAGGATGATGGATCTGTAACTGAGAACTATTGGGAACAGTTGAATGAAGAACAAGAGTCCACTGATGGAAATAGAAAGAGAAGACCATATAGAATAGAATTGGTTGGAGTTGTTTGTGATGCTTATTTAGCTGTCATTAGAGGAATAAGGTATTCTTGCTAGTTCTAGTATATGTTACTCGAACTCTTCGAAAATATCAACGTGGATTCTCCCAAAATAGTGTATTTTTGGAAAATCCGATATAGGTACGACATCGAAAGTGAAGAGTAGGTTCTAGTAAATATGGTGTAATTAATTTCTGCTTGTGTTTTCGCAGGAGAGCTATCATGTGTAGAAGAGCGGTAAGGGTGAATTCACAACTGAAATCACACAAGAGATTTGCAAGTGCATTCCATACATACTGTCACATAGTAGACAGTGCAAGATTGTATTCTACTAATGCATTGGAGGGCCCTCCTAAGGTACAATACAACAAAACAACTTCCTACTAAATATTTTCTGCTTTTTATTTCTTTAATTTGTCTCGACATTCTTATAATTTTCCTACCATATGGCTAGTTACCATAATACTAAATGGGATACTCCCAGTTAAGAATATTATTAAATAATATAATATGTGCTTTCTCTAAATTTTTAGATGAGATAGTCACACACTTCAACATGGTATCAAAGCAAACAGATGTATTTAAGATCGAATCTCACCACCACCCATATCAAATAGAATTTACATGTACTTGGTCCTGAAATCGAATCTCACCAGCATCCATATATTAAAAAAATTCCACATGCTTGTCTCATGAAAAAATGAGGGTGTGTGTTAAGATTTTAGATGAGATGGTGACACGACCCCGACCGTTATGAGTGCACCCACACTAACCCTCCGATGTGATAACCATAACTACTAACCAACTAACCTCAACTAAGCATTTAAAGATACGAAAGCAGATTTAAATGCAGAAAATTATGTAGAGTTTCCATAAACTCCAAAAGTCTAACAAAAATGCCTAGAACCTACCAAAACATCTAAAGTTCAACCATAAGCCTAAGGAAGAAAGGTTACAAGCCCAAACTGACATACAAATAACTTACTAAAAAGTATAAGTCTGAAATATGGACATAAACAAAAAGAGAACTCATGGAAGCTCGAAAGAACTGGCTCACCCTTGAATTCAAAATGATCACTGATCTTCTAAAAGAAGTCTGTCAATAGCCACCTGAATACCCTGTACTCAATAAAGAAAGAGCGATTGCAATATTAGTACACAATCACAGTGTACTGATAGGATCATACGGTTATCCCACTAAGTGCAACATATATAAGTCATTACAAAAATATAATAACCCGCATACAACGAACATATACAATATCGATATCATTTACGAACAACGAACAATCTCATAGTTCTCAAGATATACAGCTATGTCAAGTCAATGGTCCTCTCAGGGAACCCACACCCTAACTGTTAGTGTACCAGTACGGGTATCCGATCCAATGTTTATGCCAGAACATGGTAACTGATCCCAAGTTTATGCTGGAATGTAGCAACTGATCCCATCTAGTATGTCGGAACGCAACACTTAATCCATTCAACAAGCCATAATCCTAATCACAAGTATATTCTTCAAATCATACAATCAAGTCATGATACACGACATTCATCATTCACCTATCCTCATTTACAATTAGTATGATCAATAATGCAACATTCACACACATACATGTATTATATGAAGCAATAATAAACATACATCACACAACATGAAATCACAACCATCACCTACCTCAAACAAAGTTTGAATCCCCTAAGAAACTTGATTCTTCCTTTTCGAGATTCATTCCGCTTGTTCTTGATCTACAAACAATCATAATAACACGAGAATCAATAATCGATGTCTATTTACCCGAATTAAAGTTGACGCTATCAATCCTAGAATAAACTCATGATCCCAATACCCATATTAGGGCTTTTCCATCATCCAAACATTTCACCAACAATAATCACCCAAGAAACTAAGTTCTACGGATCAAAAAAATGGATTGGGGGAGTGAAAAACGTACCTTTAGCCTCAAGAATGGTGGAAAACTATCAAGAAAACACATGGGTTGTTCCTTAGCTCTCAAAGTTGAAAAGTGCAGAGTAAAATGTTTTTGGGGTTTATTTTTTATTTAATTTGCGACTGTCCCGCCACAGCGGTACTCACCCCGCTACAGCGGCCCCAACCTGGCAGGAAAATCCCGCACTAGCGGCTTGCACGGAAACAGTGAGAAAATTTAAGAATTCCAAATCCTCATTTCACAACACACCCTCGTCTCATGACATTCAAAAACCACCCTTTCGCGCTAAGATCATTTTCGGGAATTTCAGCCATTCGAATTCAGTTTCGTAAAGTTGTATGGGTTTCTTAAAGTCTTAACTATCTAATCAAATGATCGAATTCATAATTAGATTTCCGCATTGTTACTAGATTTCTCTAGACCTCATTGACTCCGATTTTGTCTAAATCTGAATTAAGTTGGAAAATTTTCGAATGCTAATAAAAAGTTTCTCAGTTCAAAATTTTTGCCGTTGGATTTTCTATAAGTATGGTAACCAGTCGTTACAATAGATACCAATTTACCAATTACTCGTCCCTAGTGACAAAATTCAAAAAATAGGCTTAAGAAGGAATAAAGTAGTACCTGAATCACCAAACAACTAGGATACTTGTCTCGCATGTCCTTCTCGATTTTCCAAGTAGTTTTCTCATTAGATGATGCTTTTATTGAACTTTCACGGACTTAATATATCTGGTCCTCAGCTTCCGTACATCACGATCAAGAATTGCAATTGGTTCCTCCTTATATTGGAGGTTTTGTCTAACACAATTGAGTCTCACTTAATGATGTAATCTCCATCACCACGATATCTCTTTAACATGGACAAACAAAATACCGGATAAACTCCCGATAGGTTAGGAGGTAAAGCCAATCTATAAGCCACTAGCGCTACATATTCGAGAACCTCAAAGGATCAGTATATCACAGACTTAGCTTTCTCATCTTGCCAAATATCATCACCACTTTCATGGGTGATACCTTAAGAATAACATTCTCACCTGTCTATAATGTCATGTCTTTTACCTTAGGGTATGCATACTTCTTTTGTTGACTCTAGGCCACTAAGAGCTTAGCTTGGATGCTTCTTAGCTTATCTTGAGCATCCTTCACTAAATCAACCTCCAAAGGTTTCACATCTCCAGCCTCGAACCATCTTATGGGTGATCAACATCCTCTCCCATGAAGTGCCTCAAACAGTGTCGTATCTATGCAGGAGCGATAACTATTATTATAGGAGAACTCACACAAGGTAATAACTTATCCCAATGCCCTCCACACATTCCCTCAACATGTCATCTAACACTTGAATAGTCCTCTCCGACTACCCTTTCATCTGTGGATGGAAAACGGTACTAAAAGTGAGTTGTATACCCTATTCATCATGTAACTTCCTCCAAAACATGGAGGTAAACTGTGTACCAAATGCAACCTCGTTATCTCTTTCACATACACCTTAGCCAGTTGTTCAGCATTATAATCTATTCTTACCGAAATTAAATGACTGACTTAGTCAATCTGTAACCACTACCCAAATAAATTCAAACTTCCCGAAAGTATTGGGAGACCAACCACGAAATCCATGACTATCCTTTCCCACTTCCATTTCAGAATTGGCAATCTCTGTAATAAACATGCAGGCCTTTGATGCTTATACTTTACTTTTTGGCAATTTTGACACTTAGCCACAAACTCCGTTATGTATTTCTTCATGCCCGGTCACCAATAAATTCTTGTCAAATCTCGGTACATCTTGGTCACACATGGATGAATGGAATATCGCAAGCCATGGGATTCTAACAACAATTTCTAAATCAAGTCATCAGCTCGAGGAACACAAATCCTTCCCTTAATACTAAGCACACATTCTGCATCAAGAGTGGTCTCTTGTGCCTTACCAATCACAGTCCTTTTCTTAAGCTCATTCAAATTTTCACCCTCAAACTGTTTGGCCTTGTCTATTTGATGAATGTGGGCCCTAGCATCAATGCTAGCTAACACCACACCTTTTTATGAGATACCCAACTTTAGGAACTTAGACTCCAGGGTCTGAATTTACTTAGTCAAAGGTCACTTAGTTACACTCAAGCAAGCCAAACTATACATAGTTACCGCTTTTCGACTTAGTGCGTCTGCCACAACATTAGCCTTGCCCGGATGATATAAGATTGTCACATCATAATCCTTGAGTAGTTCCGTCCACCTTCATTATGTCAAATTAGATCATTTTGAGTGAATACATGATGTAGATTGCGGTGATCAGTACATACCTCACAATTTACCCCAAAAAGATAATGCCGCCATATTTAAGAGAAATACTACCACTTCCAATTCCAGATCATGCGTTGGATAATTATTCTCATGCGTTGGATAATTCCTCTCATGCGCCTTAAACTGTCGCGATGCATAGGCTATGACATTATTATATTGCATCAACACCTCATGCTCATTACCAGTTATAACAGGATCCAACAAAGAACTGAAGAAAGCATCATTACCTCCAGTCCCACCCACCTTGGGGACAATGTTAGAAATAGAGGGGTTGACGGGGAGCTTTAGTTACTTGAACAGAGGGAGCACTCCACTACCAACCAATTCTTTCAAGAATGTCATAATTTGTTGAGCTAACATTGGGTCTAAAAGAGAATACATGTAGTCTCAGCACTTCTTCCTCTTGTCCAACATTCTCCTCATTCTCAACCTCTATATTATCCTCTACCTCTTCATGATGCACAAGAGAAGCCTCATTCCTCGGAGCATTCTCAAATAGTGCTTTATCCTTAGTAGGCGCCACCCTTCCTCGGTCTCTACCCTTAGCTCTTTCTCTACTCCTATCTCGACCACGACCTTTTGCTTCATATTCCTTAGTTGGAGCGTTGACGGGAGATACAGGCCTGATGTTGTTGAATCTAGTGTTAACCATCTGCGTATAGAATAGTGAAAAAGGTTAGATACCAATTCGAATCGCCCAATACCAATTAAAATCAAGTTATAGCACGAAAGAAGACAAGAGAAAAACAAAGAGATTTCCTAAAGTCTTATAGTTTCTCGAAGAAAAATACAAACGTATTCGTACCGTTTCGTAAGACTCTACTAAACTCATTTTGGTACAGCGATATCAACAAACCTAGTCTCTGATACCAACTTTGTCACAACCCGATCGTCGTGAGTGACATCTGCACTAAACTTCCGGTGGTATAAACCATAACTACTAACATCAACTAAGCATTTAAAGATACAGAAGCAAGTTTAAATGCAGATTATTAAGTAGAGTTCCCATAAACTCCAAAAGTCTAACCAAACAAATGTGGAATTAACGTCTAGAACCTAAAATTCAATGTACCAAAACATCTAAGGTCCAACCATAAGTCTAAACTAAAAGGGGTACAACCCAAAACTAACATATGAATAACTAACTAGAAAATCTAAGTCTGAAATGAGAACATAAACAGAAAGAGAACACATGGAAGCCCGGAAGAACTGGTTCACCCTTGAATTCGAAACTGTCGTTGATCTTCTAAGTAAGGTTTGTCAATAACCACCTGAATATCCCCTGTACTTAACAAACAAAGAGCAAGTGCAGTATCAGTACACCAGTCACAGTGTACTAGTAGGATCACGTGGTTATTCCACTAAGTGCAACATATATAAGTCATTATAACAATATAATAATTTGCATACACTAAACATTTACACCATCGATATTATTTTCAAACGAGCAATTCTCAAGCTATACAGTTATGTCAAGTCAATGATCCTCTTATGGAACCCACACTCAAACTGTTAGTGTATTGATATGTTGTACCCAATTAAATATTTATGTCGAGACATGGTAAACGATCTTATGTTCATGTCTTAACATTGCAACTAATCCCAGCTAATCCGTCGGAGCGCAACACCTAATCCATTCAACAAGTCAGAATCACAATCACAAGTATATTTTCAAAATCATACAATCAAGTTATGATTCATGACATTCATCATTCAACTATCCTCATTTATAATAAGTTTGATCAATCATGCAACATTCACATACATACAAGTATTACAATGAAGCAAGAACAAACATACATCACACAACATGAAATAACAACCATCACCTACCTCAAACAAAGCTTGAATCCCCTAAGAAAGTTGATTTTTCCCTTTTTGGTTTCTTTCCGCTTGTTCTTGGTCTATAAACAATCATAATAACACGAATCAATAATTGATGCCTATTTACCTACCTCGGTTAAATCTAACGCTATTAACCTCAGATTTAAACCATGATCCCAATACCCAAATTAGGGCATTTTCCACCATCCAAACAGTTCCAAAACCTTTCCGCGACAAGAAACTAAGTTCTCCGGATTGAAAAATGGATTCGGGAGTGAAAGCCTTACCTTTAGTCTCAAGAATGGTGGAAACTATCACGGAAACACCTGGGGTCATTCATTATCTCTCTAAGTCGAAAATTGCAGAATAAAATATTTTTGGGGTTTATTTCGATTTAATTTACAACGGTACTCACTCCGCTATAGTGGCCCCACCCTAGTGGGAAAATACCGCCTTAACGGCTTGCAATGAGCAAAATTAAGAATTCCGAATTCCCATTACACAATATATCCTCGTCCAATGACACTCAGAAACCACCCTCTCGCGCTAAGATCGATTTCAAGAGTTCTACTCGCCCGAATTCAATTTCGTAATGTTGTACAGATTTCTTAACGTCTTAGTTATCTAATCATATGATCAAATTCATAATTAGATTTCCCTATTGTTACTAGATTTCTCTAGACCTCACTGACTCCGATTTCGTCCAAATCTGGACTAGCTTGGGAAATTTCAGATGCTACCAAAAAGTTTTTCAGTCCAAAATTTTTCCTCGTTGGATTCTCCATAACGATGGGAACCAGTTGTTACAGATGGTTACACACTTCAACACTCCCTTCATTCATGACTCTATTTCCTTATTAGTGCGTTACAAAAAGAATGACATGTATATTTGAAAACATCTCAACTATAAGCTTCTCATTTTATCCTTTAAGAAGAAGATTTTATAGCTACCAAAATATTATGGCATGTTTAAGACCACAAGTAATATCAAAAATCTTATAGCGCAACAATTAAATTTTATATATATATATATCACTACAACAATTGTCTTGTCAAGTCAACCTGTTTCACATAAATTGATAGTAGTTGCTAACTCGTATAAATTGTCTGATGTGGTTTATTAAAACAGATGATAGGGTGGAAGGAGAAAGAAAGGACACTATTAGTTGATCCAGATGAGATAAATGTACTGCAAATGGTTGGAAGGTTGAATGATGGAGCAAACTCTATCTATGAACTTTACAAGAATCCTCATCCAGCATTTCAAGCAGGATCTGTTTGGAAAGATATTGTCTTGTCGCCTTCGAGGCTCAACATTCAGAAAGAACTCAAGTATTCCATCCAGAAAGTTGAAAGGATGAGAAGCTAGCCGAGTTACTTTCTACTAGTTTTGATAAAAACCGCATTCCCACTATTCCAATTTATTCAACACTGTTTGGATTTCAAGAGTCATACATTTTAACTTTGATAGTGAATTTTGGCATGTAATTGTAAGGTTTTTGAAATAAAACTTATATATATGTATAATGAAACTATGCAAAAGGAACAAGTGTCGGATTTTCTTTCATTTGCTTCTCATAGCTTTAGAGTCTTCCACTGCTGTTGAAATCAAAATCCAATCTATTCGTAACGTTTGATTGAGACTCTAGATAAGTGATTGATCGAACTGAATAAAGGCTTCGGCCGGATCCTAGAGAGAGTATAAGGCAAACATATACTGTCGGAGCTCCTCTGCTCCATATGGCTATCAATACCTTTTTTTTTATCGTCTTCGTTTAGTTTGTCATATATTCACAAACATATTTAACTGTTGATAATCAAATCCAACGAGTTGAATGAAGATGTATGTCCTTGACCTCATTCCAAATTGGAAACAGTTCTATTCCATGCAAACGGCAACAAGATGATGAATCGGTTCTACTCTCACACATGTTGTACTTGAAATCCAAGATGAGTGTTACCAAATGCATTTTCTTTGTATATTTTCAACTCATTTATAACATTGATATATATACAAATAAAACATCCTCAATCAACTCCAACCTTTGTCATGGCTAATATGGCAAAAAAAATTCCTAGATAATTTTAATATACAGAAAAACTAAAAGGTATGAAACCATTGCACATGTTTGTCAATCATCTACAACAGCCCTTACATGAACTACTATGTTTATGCTTCTTGCAAATGCTATCTTGGACCTGAGAGCCGAACAGCCGAAAGATAAGCATCGCTGTTGCAGTCAGATGGTGCAGAGGTGCCGGATGAAGTACCCTCGCCACTTAGTGATTTCAAATAACTTGAAAAAAGTCGTGACCCCATTTGAGACGCAGTTGGTGGTGAAGGGACATGGCAGATCCCTTCCAGCATTTGCACAACCTTAGCCATGGATGGCCTGAGAGACATGTCATCCTGTATACACCACAGAGCAACTTTAATTGCTATGGAGACCCTCTCGTCTTCTTCTTCAACTTTCAAGTTCCTATCGATAAGGTCTTCCAATTTCCCCTCTTCCATCATCCTAAAGGCATATGATGGAAAATGGGATTTCTCCGAACTTTGTGAAGGATCATAATTCTTCCTACCTCCAATTATCTCAAGCAAAACCATTCCATAACTAAAAACATCACTTTTCTCTGATATGGCATAATTTGTGATCCATTCTGGTGCGAGATATCCTCTTGTACCCCTCATAGTAGTGAAAACATGGCTCTGCTCTCTAGTCATCAGCTTCGCGAGGCCAAAATCTGAGACCTTGGCGAGAAAATGATCATCAAGAAGTACATTTTCAGGTTTGATGTCGCAATGCACAATTTTTACATCACAGTCCTCGTGGAGGTAAGCTAGGCCTTTTGCTGTGCCAAGTGCAATATTAAATCTTGTATCCCAGTCCAGCAAGAATTCCTTGTTCTTCTTAAAAAGCCATTTCTCTAAAGATCCATTTGCCATGTACTCATAAGCGAGAAGCCTGTGTGTTCCTTCAGCACAAAAACCTCTCAGTCTCACCAAATGAAGATGATGGATGCTGCCTATAATACTAACTTCTGCTCGAAATTCTTTCTTTCCTTGGCCAATGCCTTCCAATTTCTTCACAGCAAGTCTAGTCCCATCTGGAAGGACCCCTTGGTAAACTGAACCAAACCCTCCTTGCCCAAGTTTTATTGAGAAGTTATTAGTTGCATTCTGAAGTTCTCTATAGCTAAAACGAATTGGCATCCCTGATAGGCCCTCCAAGAAATTGTCTTCTTCTGAACTCCCCTTAGCAGAATCTGGCATCTTGTTGTTCTTTCTCCTCTGATATCTGATTCCTCCATAAATTAGGCCAAGAATGACAATAGCTGAAGAAATGACGATACCAAAGACAATAGGTAATCGTCCCTTCCCACCTCCACCTCTATCCCCATTCCCCTTGCTAGTTGATACTTTAATGTATGACTTGAAACCAGCTCCATTAACCGAACCTTGTAAACTTCCTACTTGATCAAACATAAAACAATTCCCTGAAGTGCTATCAAAGAACATAGCAGCACATGAGCAATTGCCAACACAAGAAGCTTTGCAACCATTTAAATCAGTTTTAGCAGATGGAGAAACAAAGCCAATTGCAAAATAGCCAAGACTATCCCCAGCATCTACAAGCTCCACATCTTTATTACAAAACGAAGCAGTGTCAGGTTTGCAAGATGGAAGTGCTGATGGGCACTGACACTTAATCCCACTGTAACAAATGAAATATGGATCACAAGAGTCTGGTCTGCTGCATTCATCTAGTGGAATTCTTGTCCCCGAGTCAAGCTTCGAGTCCTCTTGAAGAATGCTAAAAGTAATGTAACCATCATCTCCAACAACAGCCAACCGAGTGCCATTTGGATCTTTATCATCAGGGAAAATGAACTGCCAGAGCAACACTCTCTTCTCACCATAAATTTTCCAAGCATTTCCATCAAGAATTGCTGAAGTGACACCCCCTCCAACTTGATTGATAGTCCTTCTATCATCTTTCCCCATAGCCCAATAAGGTTGTGGAGGCTGAAAACTTGCGGAAAGAACCATATCCCCGGACTTAAATTCAAGTGAATAACTCAAATTATTGTTGTTAGGAGTGCTTACAAGCTTCATTCCTTGAGTGAAATTCTGACCTGACAGAAGAGTATCAACAGGATGTGTGAAGCTTTCCCAAATAACACTACCATCTTTCCCAACCAAAATTAGATTCCCCGAATCCTTCAATTCCATTGCGGAAACTCCTTTATTAGCCGTATTGGTAGACCAAATTGTTGATTTCCCACTTTGCAAAATGGCATTTCCAGTATCATCAAAAACAAAATCATCATTATTTCGAACAGGGGAATCTCTGTTAGCAGACCAAACGATGGTAGAGCTACTTACATGGATGACAACAACAAGGAACAAGGTAACATCGTTAGTAGTAGGGTTAAATCCAAATGCAAATTTGGAGCTATTGGAAACAAGAATTAACCCATTGTTGTCTATCCATGTCATTTGAGAACCTTGAAACCCCAGGTTCAGTCTGCCTTTATTTTGAACACTAGCTATACAAGTTTCAGGCAGAAATAGGAAGATCATTACTAGATAAAGGGAAATCCAAGACCCCATTCACCCAATCCGGAAGACAAAAAAATCTAACAGGACAAAAGTTGAATGAGAATTATGATAAGAAAGAAAGCAGGGAACTCATAAATGACATTGTCTATCAAATATGGTCAAAGAATAATTTTAAAAAAAACGTGAAACTGAACAAGAAGAAATAAGAATTCATTCAAGTCAAAGCTCTGAAAATTGAAACAACCAGAGAGGAAGACAGCAGGTATGAAAGAAGAGTGATGAACAGAAGAAGTAACAAAAATACATTTGTTTGTGTGGCTTTTGGGTGATATGAGATGAGAGAGAAAGAGAGGAAGAGGGAAAAGAAAAGAGGATGAATCTGTTTTGTGCTTATGTCAAAGAATTGGAGAGATCTGAGAGAAATGGGTAGAAATTGCAGCGCAACTACTATTACCTATAAAACAAAATATAAATTAAAAATAGCATCATTTGCTTGCTTTTACATACATACAACTATGGAACCATTTTATTGTTGCATTCATTAGTTTAGTATAATAATAGACAAGTATATTTCACTATGACAAATTAGAGTTATGATAGAATGCCAACCAACGAGATCTCGGGTTTGAGCTCGAATTCCTTCGAATATTGAGATATCTTTATTAAGAAATATTTTTTTTAATGTAAAATTTTTCTACACAAATTTAAATTTAATATACGGAGTGGAAAACCCCCACAAAAAACAAGTATATTAATATATAACAATTTCTACGATGGTCACTCTACTTTTAATATTTCACTAAGAAAGTTACTTAACTTTGTTTTATAACACAAAAGTGATGAAAAGCTTACCACACCGAATGTATACACCAAGTTAATGCAATTTCCATTATTATGTGATTTAATAAAGTAAAACATATGTTAATTAATTATAGTTAAGTAAAATGAACCATAAATTTAAACACATGGTATGTATGCATTGATTTTACGTAACCATCATGTCCGAGTAAGTTTTACCCCAAAAGTGACTCAACTATTGGTGTTTCACTTAGAAAGTTATTCAACTTTTTTTTATAACTCAAAAGTCACTCGACTATTGGTGTTTCACTTAGTAAGTCATTCAATTACAAATGTTTTACTTAGTTTGTCACTCAATTAATTTAAATACTCTTTTTATTAAATTTTATTTTAAATTATTTTTAAAAAAAATAATAAAATATCAATTTTAATTATCTTATTAATCCACTCTAGTTATTTAATTATAATTTTTCTGAAAAAACATACCGTAGCAATTGACTTAAAAAAACTTTTCTGTTTTAGTAATTATATAACTGGATATATATGTTAAAAAATTATCCAAAAAAAAAAAAAGATGAAGGGGAGGAATTGATAAGAAGTAATACGCACAGTAGCAATCTTCTACTAACTTTTTTCAAAAAATAAAATAACACGTAGAAACAAAAACTATATTTCAACAGAACTCAATAAAATAATTAAAATAAGCATCCATTATTTTTTCTAAAGAAGATAGTTCAATTATTTTTTGTAATTTTGTAATTTTTCAAAATTTAATGAAATTATTTAAATTGATCGAGTTACTTTCTAAGTGAAATATCAATAATTAAGTGACTTCTTAAGTGAAACTTCAATAGTTGAGTCACTTTTGACTTATATAACAAACTTGAGTGACTTTCTAAGTGAACAACTGAAGATCGATTAACTTTCTAAGTGAACTATTAAAAGCTAAGTAATCATATGAGATAGTAACTCCAATTTTCTATCTATACTACTACTAATAATTACATTTATAATAAAAACACACTCTTTATATAATTATCTCTCTATAACAACTATATTCAAATATTGTATAATAATATTCTCTAAAAATATATACTATGTTTAAAATAAAACATTAAAATTATTCACGATAATCGTTATATATATCATGCACATAATACATTATAAATATAAATATTTAAAAATTTGAGGGTCAAAAATACACC